TGCATGGCAGGGGACAGCTAATGTTATCTATAATTCTCTGGCACAGAGCTCTGGAAACTCACAGACTCCAAACACTGCCATTATGGTTTAAGGATGTTGTCTAGACTTCTCTGTCAGAGAGTTTGAGAGAGTCACCAAACTACAAATCCCCAAATAATGTAGAATGGAACCATGGCAGTTCAAAAGGTATATCAGTGCTAAATTGCGCAGTGTGAAAGGGCTCAAAAGAAGCTCTCTGGGCTGTCACTGGGGAACATTTATGGATGTTCGAAGAGCCCAAAATAGCAAAAAGAAGAAGAAAAATGCCACATGGTCAACCGAGTAAAGAGAAGACATTTGACAGCCAAGGGAAATAAATCTGACGAAGAGAAACTTCCCATTGTCTATCCGTGTCATATCCAGTGGTTCCTGCAACCAAAAGAGAAATCTATGGGGAATCTCCCTCTTTCTCTGTAACGCATGCCCTTTATTTTTCAGCATTGGGAAATTCACACCTGAATGTATGAAGCAAAAACACTGAAAATATTGCATTGTCAAAGGCTTTCATAGCCGGAATCACTGAGTTGTTGTGTGTTTTACGGGCTATAAGGCCATGTTCTAGAAGCATTTTCTCCTGACATTCCACCTGCATCTATGGCAAACATCCTCAGAGGTTGTGAGGTCTGTTGCAAACTAGGAAAATTGGGTTTATATATCTGTGGAAAGTCCAGGGTGGGAGAAAGAACTCTTTGTTGGAGCTAGGTGTGAATGTTTCAATTGGCCACCTTGATTAGCATTTGATGGCCTGACAGTTTTTTGGTGTGGCTTGTTACTGCCTGGGGGAATCTTTAGTTGAGGGGTGATTAGCTGTTCCTGATTGTTTCTTGTCTGGAGTTCCCCTGTATTTGAGTTTTGTTCTTTATTTACTGTTATAATTTTAGAGTTTATCCTAGCAGTTTTCAAGGTGTAAACAAAGGAGAGAAAGGATTCCCCCAGGCAGTAACAAGCTACATCTAAAAACTGTCAGGCCATCAAATGCTAATCAAGGTGACCAATTGAACATTCAAACAGCCAAGAGTTCTTTCTCCCACCCTGGATATTCCACAGATATATAAACCCAATTTTCCTAGTTTCCAACAGACCTCACAACCTCTGAGGATGCCTGCCATAGAAGTGGGCGAAACGTCAGGAGAGAATGCTTCTGGAACATGGCCATACAGCCCGGAAATCTCACAGCAATCCAGTGAAACTTTTGTCACATTAAGTTTTGGTTCCAGAATGCTTCTGGATCCTTTGACGGGAGGTGTTAGCTGGCCCTGATTGTTTCATGACATTCCAACAAAAGTTTCCCCCAGGCAGGAAGCAGCCAGGCTTTGAAGCTGCAAGGCCATTCAGTGCTAATCAAGGTGGCCAATTGCAACATTCACACTTGCCTCCAACAAACAAGAGTTCTTTCTTGGACCTTCCACAGATATATAAACCTAATTTTCCTAGTTTCCAACAGACCTCACAACCTCTGAGGATGCCTGCCATAGATGTGGGCGAAACGTCAGGAGGGAATGCTTCTAGAACATGGCCATATAGCCTAAGAAACCTACAACAACCTACTGAAAATATTGCATCTGGGTGTTGTTAACTGCTTTTTGCTACTCAGCACACTTCTGTACCCTTCAAATAGAAAATATGCATCTGTGAAGCTGTCTTGAGAAACCAGTTGGCATAAATATATATTTATTTATTTTTATTTATTTACAGTTCTTATATTCCGCCCTTCTCACCCCGCAGGGGACTCAGGGCGGATTACAGTCAACACATATATGGCAAACATTCAATGCCAGTTTGACAAACAACGTTTAACACACAAATACACCGAGGCTATTTAACTTTTTTCTGGCCGCCAGGGGAGCTGCTGCTTTTCATCGTCCATCACCGACACCGATGAAGTTCTTCCGCATTCCACATTCCCCGGAGTCTTCTTTCTTTATGGCCTCATAAATTAGTTAATTTAGCCTCCCACACAAGGTGGTACCTTATTTTTCCTACTTGACAGATGCAACTGTCTTTCGGGTTGCAAAGGTTGACAACGGGCTACACAATGGCTGGACACCCACTCCAGCCCGGGCTGGCTTCGAACTCATGACCTTTTGGTCAGAGTGATCTTAATGCAGCTGACACTCAGCCAGCTGCGCCACAATCCCTAGTTCAGCGGTTCTCAACCTGGGGGTCGCGACCCCCCGAGGGGTCACCTGGCCATTTCAGAGGGGTCGCGATGTGGCGTCCTTTGGCCCCACCCCCTCTGACTCCCTGGAATAGTGGCCGGAGCAGTGAGGCTTGGTGTTCAGAATGCTCTTTGATGGCAGGTGAACTATAACTCCAAGTAACTGCAACTCCCAAATGTCAGGGTCCTTTTCCCCTAAACTCCACCAGTGTTCCAATTTAGGCATAATGAGTATTCGTGCCAAGTTTGGTCCAGATCCATAGTTGTTTGGGTTCTCAGTTCTCTCCGGATGTAGGTGAACTACATCTTCCCTAAATCACTGCCAATTCCTCCCAAACCCCTCCAGTATTTTCTGTTGGTCAAGGGAGTTCTCTGTGCCAAGTTTGGTCCAGTTCCGTAATTTGTGGGGGTCTCAGTGGTCTGTGGAAGTCAGAGCTGAACCAGTTGAAGGTACTGCAAATTCCATTATCCGTTGTCCATACTACAAATCTCATGAATGTCAATGGCTTCGGCACATGTACAAATCTCCCACCCCAGCCTACCAACTTTCCTTGTTAAGGACACACCGCTAGCTTAAAATAGGAGACTCGCTCTCCTCCGAGAGGAGTAGTTAGCTATTCATAGTGCTCCAAAAATGCAATTAGAGAAGCAGCCGGCCCTTTCCTTTCTCCTCCGAGATGAGAGCGCACCCTCAAAGAAGAGGTTTTAAGGACACGGCGGCAAGCGCCGCGGAAGAGATTGAAGTGTCTTCCCCGCCAGCGACCTTGGAAAGAACAGAAAGACCCACAGGGCCTTGGAGAAGTAGTAACTCAGGAGGCAATTTCCCACCTGAGTTTGGGCAGGAAACAGAGGGGAAGATCCCTCCGTGCTGTTTTCCCCTCCACTCTGGGTCAACACTCGCTCGTCTCATTTGCCAGAGTCCCACAGGCCTTGAGAAGAGGGGTATTTTTGGAGGGTGCACCTGTTCAAAGCATTCCTGCAAACTCTGGGTAAGCACATAGCTTAGAGCCGGAGAACTTGCTGACACACACACAGCCACACACGCCTTATGGACAGGCGAGGAATGCCTTTTGAGCAAGCGGCACACACACCCTCCAATATTTCGGACATGAAAACGGGGACATGAGGTGGGAAAGAGTGGTCAAGATGGCTAAAGTTATAAAGGAGGAAGGAAATTCCCAAATTAGCACAGGATGCAGCAGTTTGCTTTAGCCCACTGGTTCCCTATCTTTTTTTATTATTATTATTATCAAGGACCACTTTGACC